GGGCATAAACCTCCACCAAGTTGGGTTATACTTTGTAGCCATTTAACAGCAGCTTTGTAGAAATTTGCTTGTAACTTAACCATACCAAGCTTGCTAATCAATTATAGCTTATATACAACTAAGTGAAGCTGTTCTATTATTATATATGAGTGTATATAAATGCTCCAGACTAACTCCACCTAGTTAGTTATACATTGTAGCCAATATAACAGCAGCTTGCCAGAGATCTGTGCATTACTCAATTATACCAAGCTTGCTGATTTACTGTAGCTAGTATACAGATAAGCGGAGCTATTCTATCATCATTTAAAAGTGTATATAAATGTTTCTCATCACCTCCGCCAAGTTTGCTATGCTATACTTTGTAGCTGCTTGGCAGTAGCTTGTAAAAGATCCATCAACTTGCAACTTGTTCAGTAAGCTTTACTGGTCAACGACAGCTTGTGTACAGCAAAGCGGAATGACTCTGCTGTCATTTATAGGTGTATATAAACTCACTACATTATCTCCACCAAGCTGCCTGTACATTGTAGTTACTTGGTAGCAGCTTGGCAGATCTGCTCATGGCCTATCAGTGAATCACCTGCTGATCAGCTGTAGCTTGTGTACAAGCAAGTGGAGATATGCTGTGGCTATATGCAGGTCTATATAACAAATGTGTTAAATCACCTCTACCAAGTTTGTTTTGCTGAGACAGCTAGATTAACACCTGATTGTGCAGTTGTGTGCAATCAGACATAAACTGTGTGCATACTTGAGACATCTAGATTGTGCAGCTGTGCACAATTGAGCATGAACTGTTTGCATGCTTGAAACAACTAGATCAACACCTGATTGTGCAGTTGTGCATAATCAGGTGTGGCACAAATTGGTGTGAGTAGGTACAGTACTTATGCCTGATTGTGCACAGCTGCACAATTGGGTGTTGATCTAGCTATCTCAAGTATGCAAAAAGTTCATGTCCAATTGTGCAGTTGTGCACAATGAGATATAAGCACTGTACCTACTCAATGTAGATGTCTTAAGCGTGCAAAGAGCTTATGCCCGATTGTGCCACTGTGCACAATCAGGTATAAGCACTGTAACTACCCGATGTAGATAAATGCCTGAAGAAGAGTTTATACCCGATTGTGCCACTGTGCACAATCAGGTATAAGCACTGTACCTACCCAATGTAGATTAGATGTCTCAAGCATGCAAAGAGCTCATGTCCGATTGTGCCACTGTGCACAATCGGGTATAAGTACTGTAACTATCCAATGTAGATAAATGCCTGAAGAAGAGTTCATGCCCGATTGTGCCACTGTGCACAATCGGGTATAAGTACTGTACCTACCCAATGTGGATTAGATGTCCCAAGCATGCAAAGAGTTCATGCCCAATTGTGCCACTGTGCACAATCGGGTATAAGTACTGTAACTATTCAATGTAGATAAATGCCTGAAGAAAGAGTTCATGCCCGATTGTGCCAATGTGCACAATTGGATATAAGTACTGTAACCACCCAAGCCAATTTATATTACACCCGATTGTGCACAAGTGCACAATCGGGTATTATGTCAGTGTTAATGTTCCTGTGTTATTATCATCGAGCTTCATTACCTTTTCTATTTCCAAGTTGTGCATGCCATAAGGCATCCTTTAACCCAGAAAGGGCCCCTGGTTAGAGGGTATAATGCCTTGTACAAGACATTAGAGATGTCAAGGTGTGGATAGCAAGCGACACAGCTCTCAAAACATACAAGAGATATTGCACAAATGACCTGGACCATTATGGTGAAAGGGCAAGCTTTGTTCAAAAATGCTAAGCAATGCTGAGCAGCTTCTGCAGATCTTTGAACATGACAGACAGCCTATCAAGTTCTTTCTTGTTGCAGGACCCACTTACATGATGGAAAAGGCAGGCTTGAAACTACAGGATGTAATAAATTGGCAACAAAAATTAAGATGAGCCTGCAAAGGTGTGATTATAGCTTCAAATCCAAATGACTTTGCAGAACATTTAAGCATACAGTGGGTGCCTCGTACAAGATATTAGAGATGCCAAGGTGTGAATAGCAAGCGACACAGCTCTCAAAACATACAAGAGATATTGCACAAATGACCTGGACCATCATGGTGAAAGGGCAAGCTTTGTCCAAAAATGCATCAAGTGCAAGACTTTTCAAGCCAAGCCTCTCAAAAAAAGAAATACCTATGCAAGGCTGTCTACCATTCAGGAAGGTCTGTCATTATTCTGCACCCTAATGTGGCAACATGCTTACAGATACTTTGCAAGCAGTGGTGCTTTATTACTAGAAAAGGTTAATGATTTTGCTGGTGGATTGCAAAGAAGATTTCTGATGTCAATACACAGAGGTGCAATGGTGAAAACATTCATCAAGTCATTTGTCAAGATGGCTGAGAGGTTGAGCATCATGTTCTCTAATATGGATCAATGCAACTACTTAATTTATCAGAA